TGCTGCCACAGCTCGTGCAATGATATCAGCAACTTGAGAGGAAAATTCCTGATTCTCATTTTGAGTTGGGGAAATACTGCGATGCTGGTTCGCATTCCTTGTCCCACGCCGAGACATCCTTCTTTTAAATTCAGAAAAATCTAACGTCAGTACATTATAATGGACAGACTAAAAGAATACAAAGAACCCTAATACTTAGGCTCTAAATATCAGAATACACAATGCGGAAGTATAGTAATCACAGATCCCTAAGACACTCGAACCTGGAATGCTCTGATACCAACTGTAACACCCCCACATTTTCCACGCATAAGTTGATCAGGCTTATACACGAAAAACGAGGGATATCAAAAACAATTGGCAATATACAAGCATGGAATACAAAATGATGATAATAAAAGAATTTAGACAAGAAAGGAACACTAAATAATACAACATCCATCCATCCTTTATTTAATACAGTACTTCATTACAACTTGGAAATCCTATGTCAAAGATCCCTAAATATAACCCTGAGAGTTCAACGTCAAAAGTAAATAAAAACTGAAACTGAAGTAATACATAAAACTTCTACCCTGAACTGGATCGTAAGAGTAGATGAGTTCGGATGGTGGTCCCACACTGCTAACCTCAACCTTGGAACGGGTACTGACCGTATCCTGAAATAACAACAATGGTGGGTCAACCCCACGAGCAAGTCCTCTCTACTGTGACCCAAATCAGAGAATCAAATAAATTAATTATTATAAATCGGTTGAGTACTATATCTGTATACATCCTAAGGGAACTATCCCATGTATAACATGACCTCAACCAGAATAGACGGTGATCACTTAGACTCACACTAGGTGGTTAAGTGTCGCCTTTCCCTACCCGGGAAATCAACTATTATACATGGTGCACGGTACTGACAACACAGACTATAACGAACTACACAGTGATAACACCTCTCAAAGTACTGATGAATATACTGAGTATATCAATTAGGCAATACATGCCAACAATATTAATAAATATACCGAGTATGTCGATTAGGCAACACATGCCAATAATATTACACCACATACCCCGACAGCCACACATCTGTCTATCGCAACGAATGCATAAGGTATAAATGAGTCTAAACTTATTAGCCAGCTCACATGGTTCTATATGGCAACTCATCCATATAATAAAAATGTGACATAATTAAACAGTCCATTTATTTCCTGAAATGCACACAGCATAATAATCATGGTTTGTATATCATTAACAACATAAATAATCCTGCAATGTATAACGGACAATTTATTTGAATTAAAACCATGTAATCATTTAATTTTAACATTAATGATTTAATACTGTTTAATAAAATAATAACACAATTAATGATTAACAATGTCATTAAATTAACTACATCCGTTTAATGGTGATCTGTATTGAAAACGATACAATTAATATTTAAAAATATTAATCGGTCATAATAATAACTAACGGTTAATAAAATAATAATTTAATGTCCCGTTAAACCCGTAAGTACCAACTATAGGCCCAAAAGTGCAAGTTTAAGGTTCTGGAAATTACAAAACAGGCCCTAGGGGTATTCTGGTAATTTCCAGCAGCTGACCGGCCCTTCACGCGCCCCCACGCGCCGCCCTAAGCTTCCCCACGCGCAGCCCTATGTTTTCCACTCTCTCACGCGCTCACACGCGCCTCCACGCGCATCTGGCATCAGCCACGCGCGCGCGCTCTCCCACGCGCGTCTGGAGAGTTCCACCCGCGCGCACGCGCTCCCACGCGCGCGTTGATGGCTTCCTGCTGACGTGGCGTCCTCCGGTTGGTTGGCTGCATCACTTTTCCTACATGCGCGCCACACCGGATCAATCCACCTATGCTCCTTTCATCCTACGGCTGATGATTAGCGCGCACCATCATATGGTGTCCCGCGCTACACCGAATCAATCTAAGGATTCACAACCCATCTAACGGCTGCTGATCCATGCGCATGCTTGTTACAATACACCGTAACACACCAGATAACTCTGGTCACCTTCCTCACTGCCGGTGGCCGGAAAACTCGCCGGAGTCTCGCCGGAAATTACAGAAAATGCCCGAAAAATTCCTAAAAATTCTAAAAAAAAATCCCTAATGCCTTAAGGAAATATTTTTAGATATTTTGAACATCATAGGATAATAACTAATTATATACCATCCTAAATAATTAAAAATTCATTAATTTAATAAACTATAAAAAAATCATTTAATAAAATTTAAGCATGCTCTCAATGCCCCATCATAATCTAAATAATTTAAACAATTAATTTATGGATTCAAAGGGGAAAAATAGATAATAACTTGCCTTTTTGGATTTAAAATAAATCTGCCGGTTGCGCGTAGTCGGGTAAATTCCCTACACCGGTCCAAGCTCCTTTCTTTCTCTCTCTTCCTTTCCACACTCTTACAATGGCTCACTAGAATTTATAATTTGTGTTTAACTCCCTTTCCTTCCTTCTAAGGTAGGCTAGCTAATTTATATACAAATTATATAATATATTTATTACAAATATCTAATTTTTACATTTACTAACCACCTTCCCAACCATATGGCTTCAATTCCACCCATAAACATTGATGAAATCCTATCCTAATCTCTAATTTCATCATGACATTGGTTTAATACTATTATTATTATTATAACTATTATTATTATTACTAAACTTTTATAATTATTATTATTATTATATACAAATTAAATACTTTAATTAAATAATAATAATTAATCTAAAACATAACCAATAAAAATTTCAAAACTAATCATTATACTATATAGAACATAAATCAATATTACATGCACAAAAAAATAAAATTAATTAACCTAACACAAAATTAATTTAAATACACTCTTTAAAATTACGGGGTATTACAAGCATAGAGGAAATTACCAAGATACCCTTGCAACAGATTTATATCTTCTCAGCTAAGAAAAAGTCCTGAGACTGTATAAGTGACAATGCAGGTTCAATGAGATCACTCCAGTGCAATGCAGCATCCTGAACATACATATCTATATTGAATACAGCTGAGAAGTGACAATGCTACCCCTGGAACCATCTGAGACAACTTTATGAACTAAGTCCACACAAAATTCAGTAATTTTAGCAAGAACAGGCTAGTACACTATGATGTATTGTTCAGGACAGATATGGAGTATGAATCACTGATGTGAAAATGACCACACAACCCTTGAGTCTTATTTCAAGCAACATTAATAATGAAGAAACCATTGCTACACTGATTTTTGACATTAAAGAGGCAAACACTGCATAAAGGACTTTAGGACCAACAATCTCCCCCTTTTGCCTTTAATGACAAAAACTTCAATCATGAAATAAGACCACAACAAAGGAGACTCAACCAAAATAATAATAAGCATATGAATCAATAGCAGCAAGTAAAAGAAGGGATAGCTGAGAAACTACCCTTATTTTAGTCCATTATCCCCCTTTTTGACATTGAAGGACAAAAGGTGAGAATGACCAACAATGAGAGGCTTAGAAAGGGGGTGGAACAACCCTGAGAAGAGCTCTGAGGGTTGAAAAACGTTGAGGGAGAAGAGGTTTGGTCATGATATCTGCTAGTTGATTTTCAGTTGGTAAGTAAGTAATGGCAATGAGGCCTTTTTGAACTTTGTCTCGAAGAAAGTGATACTTGATGTTAATATATTTGCTCTTCCAGTGAAGTGTGGGATTCTTGCTGATGGCAATGACACTTTGATTATCACAGTAGAATGTAGGAGGACCTGAGAAATGAAGACCAAGATCAGCAAGAATAGTGTACATCCAGAGAAGTTGAGAACCAGCCTGAGAAGCAGCTATGTATTCAGCTTCTGAGGTAGATAGGGAGACAGTATCCTGCTTCTACTTAACCAAGAAACTAAGTTGGAACCAAGGAGATAGCAGTAGCCTGATGTACTTTTTCTGTCAGGTAAAGATCCACCCCAATCAGCATCTGAAAAAGCTGTGATAGGTAATGTTGAGGAGAAGATATAATGTAGACCGTAGGAAATAGTACCATTGACATATCTCAGAATCCTTTTAGCAGCCTGAAGATGCAGAGTCTTGGATTGCTTTGAAATCTTGCTACCAACCCCACAGAATACATGATATCAGGTCTTGAAGTTGTGAGATACAAAAGACTGCCAATGATAGACCTATAAAGAGTAGAGGGAACTGATTCTATAGTACTTTCAAGAGACAGTTTGGAATTAGGACATAAGGGAGTGGATACAGGTTTGCACTCAGTCATATTGAATTTTGTAAGCAACTCAGAGGCATATTTTTGTTGAGAGATGAAGATTCCTTGGGAGGTTTGATGAATTTGAAGACCTAAGAAGTATCTAAGAGTACCCAAAAGAGACATTTCAAATCTGGTTTTCATCAAATTGGCAAACTCTGATGCTAAAGATGTATTAGAGCCACAAAACATATATCATCAACATAGACTTGAAGAATGAGGAACTGATCTTGATGAAGCTTGACATAAAGTGTACTATCCACTTTTCCTCTATGAAAACCTTGTTCAATCAAGAACTGATGTAGTTTTTCATACCAAGCCCTGGGAGCCTGTTTGAGACCATACAAGGCCTTGTTTAGCTTGAAGACATAGGAGAGAGACTTGGGATCTTCAAAACCTTCAGGTTATTCTAGGTATACTTCTTCATTTAACTCTCCATTCAAAAAGGCAGACTTAACATCCATTTGATACACTTTGATTTGCTTGTGACAAGCAAAGGACAAGAGCATTCTAATAGATTCCATCCTAGCAACTGCGGCAAAGGTTTCATTATAGTCAATACCAGCTTGTTGAGAGTATCCTTTACATACCAATCTAGCCTTGTTTCTGATAACTGACCCTTTTTCATCAAGTTTGTTTCTGTAAATCCATTTGGAACCAATAACATTCTTAGCTGCAGGTCTAGGAACCAGTGTCCAAGTCTCATTCTTGTGAATTTGTTCAAGTTCTTATTTCATAGCAACCACCCAATCTTCACTTTTCTGTGCTTCAGAGTAAGATTTTGGTTCAATAGAGGATAGCATTGCAAAATGACTGTATTCTTCTCCATCATCAGCTTCTAATTTAGTGAGTTTCTTCTTGTTTCTTGTCTGAACACCAGCCTGAGGAAAACCAATAATGTTTTCAGCTTGAACCTGTTTTTGTAATCCTGGATAAGTAACTTCTCTATGATCATCAGGTTCTGAAGTAGATTTAACAGATTTATCTAACCCTTGAACTGAATGAGATGGACTGGCTTCAGTTGATCCTGGTGTAGAATTGATGTCATCATTGATGCTGAACTGTGGTGTTTCATCAAATTCAACATGAATTGATTTAATAACCTTGGAGGATCTTAAATTGTAGCATCTGTAAGCCTTGCTTTTTGTAGAGTACCCCAAGAATATCCCTTCATTTCTCGTTCACTATTTCTACTCGAATATCTGCAAGGTTCATGATTCCGAATATTTTGAGGTTTCATTATTCGGGAAGGATTATGTTGTTCATACAGATGTGATAGACAAAGTTCTTTGTATTCCCAAGAATTTTTCTAACACGAGATATCGTCTTCCACTTGATCATTCCGAGTTGAAGTGGGAAGATATCTGCAATGAGCTATGTGTTCCAGACTCACCAAGGTTTCCTAACTACATTCCCAATCGTTATTTGACAGATAAGGAGGTTTTTCTGAATTTGTTTTCCATCTCCAATCTGGGTTATTTTGGGAAGAATGATGTTATCTCTTCAGATTGTGCTGAGGTACTATATCTCTTATGTATTGATGCTGAGATTTATCTTTATTCTTCTATCTATGGTTTGATGGTTACACACTACAAGAATAACACCAAGAAGAAATCATCTCCATTCCCTATGATCATAATGGAGTTATATCGGCATTTTGAGATTTCATTTCCACCCTGTGCTCATCATATAGAGATCATGTCCGAGATGGATATGAGGGCTTTTAACAAGGCCTAATCTGCAAGAGTTTCATCTAGGAAAGCTAGCACAGGTGCAGCTGCGTCGTCATCATCTCTTCCTGAGGTTACTATGCTTTTTCCGCCTAAGCGGGTGTTCAACACTCAGATGCAAATTTGATTTATTCATTGATTTTTCAGAATCAAAAAGCCTTGATGGATGCTGTTCTTGATCTTTAAGAAGATGTTCGTTTACTTAAGGAGTAGATGACGGGTGGTTCTTCTAAGCATGTATACAGACCAGCCCCTCCAGATCCGTCACTTGTGGCTGAAAATGATAGAGATGAGCAAAGGATGATGAGGCTGACAGTGGGAGTGATACTGATGATGATGATGGTGGTGATAAGGAGATTCCGACATCTACAGTTCCATTTGCTGGAGATGATCCTGATGCTTGATTCTATGTTCATATCATTCATGCATCATTTTTTATCAGTTTCTACATTGTCATGACTTGATACTTTTGGATATTTTATTTTGGTTTTTGACATGTATCAAACTGATTTCTGTTTACTCAGTTTTAGTTTTATTTCTCTCTGGTTATTTTGCTATTCCTTTGTCAATTTTGCTCCAAAAATGGGGAGATAACAAGGTTACATTAAGGGATAGATTTTAAAATTTTTTGGATAATTTATTCAGGGGAGTTTTAAACTTGTTTTATTAAACTTTCACTGGTAGTTTTGATTGAATTATGTGCTGGAATTCAGGTAAAAGTTTGTCCAAGAGCTGAAGAAAACAGAGATAAAATATTTCTTTGGTTCCTTATAACAATTCTAATTTATTTTTCTGCTTTGGGTAAATTATAAATTGTTCTTAGGGTTTTGTCATGAAATTGCCAAAAGGGGAGATTGTGAGATATATTTTTGTAAATTAACATATTTAGGTAACAAAACAAGTCCTAGTCGAGTTGTAATTTTAGTTACCATATCCGACTTGGCATCGACTATGGAATTGGAAGTTTGTTCAGAAGAGGAAAGTACTGTTGATCATCAAAAAGAAAAGAACAACGATTAGGACATCGTTTCCCACTTATGACACATTGATATACATGGTATATTTTTAGAGTTCCAAAAATATAGAATTTCCAAGTTCATATTGGATTTTGTTAAGTGGGAACCGGTACTAAGATTTGGGAACTGGTTCTAAAAGCTAATACTCGAGAAACAACTCTCTGTCAAGTGGGAACCGGTACCAAGATTGGGAACCGATTCCACATGTCCTGATTGCAAAAGGATTCTAGTTTCCTTGCTCTATCTGATACCTTTTTGATCCAACTTTCCTTCCAAGTCCTATGCACTAATTTTTCTTTATTTTCAGAAGGAATAGGACTTTGCAAATCTCTATATAAATCATGTCATATACATTGGTTTATGCACAGATTTTGTTATACAGATTCATTATTTTTAAAAGCCTTAGGAAGATTATTTTGCAGAAAATCAGAGTTGATTTTTCTGACATCTTTCTAGAACACATACACATAAACATATAGAGAGTTCAGAGTTGTGGTATTCAAATCCTGATCGTGATCATATAGTTGCATCTACAACGATCAAACAAAAGTAGATCTTCTTCTACATCATTCAGACGATTGAAGAACAGAAGTAAAAGCAATCACACTTTGAAAGGGTTTGAGTATTCGAGGAGTGTTGTCTAATCTACCTGCTACTCTTTTACAAATATCAAGCATAAGCCTGAGGTCAAGTTGCTGTTAAATGGGGAGTCGCAAAGCTAAGAGGATTGTCAACAGTTGACGTTTGGTAGAACGATAGGGTGTGAGCTAGAATCAAAGTTTGGTATACTTTGTTTCAAGCATAGTGGATTGGTTTACTTTAGACTGCATAGTTTATGAGGTTTTTCCCATAACAGTTGACGTATTTTATCAACTGGGGTTTCCTCACTAAAATCCTGGTGTCATCTCTAACTTTATACTTTACTTTATTTTATCTGCATGTGATTAATTGTTTAATTGCTAAAATAAGTAAAGTTGGTTAAGACACATATCTGTTTTAAAACAAACAAAATTTTCTAAATATTTTTCGCTACGTACGACTCACAAAGGGGATTCAGCTTGTTTAGACTTCAAGAGGTGATAAAAACTGTTGCTCAATTACCAAGTCAGCATACCCTTAAATGCAAAAGAGGTGATTTAGAGTAGCAACGTGTGGCTAGAATGGACTCTCAGCGTATTTTACTCTATTATGCCTTAATCTTTTATTCCTCTGTTTTGAATGAAATGATTTTACCAGGTTAAAGAGAGAGAGAGAGAGTATTGGGAGATATAGATTGATATACATAAGCATATCAATATAAGAATATACCACCAAGCGAAATTTTCAATAAAAGTAAAGTGGAGTACATTTGTATAAAGTAAAGAAAGAAGGGAATGATATGGGTGAAAAGTAGAGTATCAATCAGTGGTTCCCACCTATACTAATGCATTGTATGGTCCACATTTAGATAATCCAATAGATAATATATATCTGTTTTATATAGTATTTTAATCTTTCTGTAGTGCTTTTTCGTCACTTTCACATCAACATTTTTTATTAAATAATGTTGATGTGTCTTCTTACTTTTATAAAAGTGATAGAGTATGTATATGATGCACACCGGATGCTATTAGACTTGAGTGGTTGGTGCAGCAGTCGCACTCGCCACATGGCGGGTCCACACTTTTTTTCTTTTCTTTTTAAAAATTTTAAGATGTGAGATGTGAAGAGCCCCACACATTTTTATTTATTTATTTATTATTATTATTATTATTATTATTGTGTGGGTATGTTTACAATATAATGTGATCACTTATCATATTTGAATTTCAGTAACAAGAACTCTTCTTTTTCTCTTTATTTGTTTCCACAATCTGTTAATTTATACTCTTTTTAGTATACATGTGTACTTGTTTGTGTTTCATCATGGTATTATAACTCTTACTTTAAATCAAATATAAAGTTAATATGTATAATTTGAAAATATATTTTTTTCATACAATTTTATAATCTGAAAATTCAGTTCCAACTTTTCAAAAATACATTAGTCTAACTAATTCAACCTAGCTTATATTTGGATTCTCTCAATCTCTCATTGATAATGTTGTTAATTTCCTTCTCTTTTACTTATTTTTTTTATCTTACTTCTTTTACTTTTAAATCTTTTATCATAATTTTTTATATAGATATGTTAGTCAATATGTGCCGTGTGGTTGTTAGTACTATCTCTTGTAATATGTACATATTTCATGGAGATGAAAAAGATGCAACAATTAAATTCTTTTTGGTCCCAGTTTGGCTGATTCCAATTTTTCGGCTTGTTTTCCATTTACAAAATTACTTTTTTTATATGTACATATTTAATTTGGAAAAACCCTCCAATAATAAATGAGAAAAAGACGGGACAAATTGACAAAATTTCACTATTTGAAAAATAATAATAATTGAAAGAAATTTCCATTCAAAGTCATACACAAAACATAGAGTAATTACAAGAACAAATAGTTCTCAATCTCTACGCACTCTTTGTTGTCCAAACAACACATGCATATTATGTTGATAAAACAAATTTGATTTTTTGAGTGACAAACAATCAAGTGAGACAATGATACAAATTCAGATGTAAGAGAGAGACCTAAGTTCAAAAAGAAAAGCAAGCAATGAAGGCTTATGAATTTGTTTAGACGAAGCTAGTGAGTGAGATGGAGCAGAAAGTGAGATTGCAGATCAGATCGAGAGAGAATGAGTGATGCAAATCAGTTGTAAAAGAGTGTAAACATGAAATATTAGAAGGGACAAAAATGGATTAAAAATAAAATAAATAGCCTCGATTATGGACAACGTGGTTCAGCCAACGACTCTTAATTACGTAATACTCATTAGTTAAAGAAGGAAAAAATTGTTTAAAGAAAGTACTCGGTAACAAATATATCTTTATTGGTTTGAGTTTGCATTGACATCTGAACCCACGTCTTTCATTAGGTCTAGCAACTTTGATTATAAATTGATATAAACCATTTGGGCCGCTCAAGATGGACTGGTTCAGCACATGGGTGGCATAAAATATGGGGCATCTCGAGAGTATCAACAGCACGTACCCTCGGCCAATAGTGAATAGCTATTAAAGCATAGTTAAGTAGGGAGTCGGATTCTTTAGGAAGGCCTTCTGGATCAATAAAATTAATATTTAAATAAATATTTTTATTTTATTAATACTGAATGAATTATTAAATTTATTCTTAGTATATCTATAATGATATGATAATTTATTTTTTATAGGTTGAATGTTCAATTAATATATTAACTTTTCATTGAGGTATTTATTTTGGAACGAATAAAAATGAAAAAATAGACACTTATTTTGAAAATGAAAGAGTACAAAATCAGTGGAAATGTATCGATTAAGCTCAAAAAAAAAAAAAAAAAAAAAATTGAGTTTGATGGTCCCGAGCATGGAATTCGGCTTCTTTAGTTTTGGAAAATACACTCTCCTTTATTTACACTTGTCATTATTTTGAATATCAATGATATAAAAAATCTTCTTTTTCTCTTTCTGCGTTTTCACAATCTTGTAATTCCTGTTCCTTCTAGTATATTTGTGTGATTTTTAAGTGTTTGAAAAATGTCCTAAATGAATGTATATTGTTTCACCTTGGTATTATAACTCTTACTTTAAATCGGATATAAAACTAATATGTATAATCTGAAAATATTTTTTTTTATATAATTTTATAATCTGAAAATCCAGTTCTGACTTTTCAAAAATATTTTAGTCAACTAATTCTACCTAGCTTATGTTTGGGTTCTCTCAATCTCTCACTGATAATGTTGTTAATTTCCTTCTCTTTTGATGATTTTTATCTTGCTTTCTTTGCTTTTAAGCCTTTTATCACAATTCCGTATATAGCTGGTAAGTGCAACAGTCTGTGTACATACAATGAACCTTTCAAGGCCTAATGCCACTTTTCTGCAAACAAAATTCCTTTTTTATCTGTACGTATTTAATTTGGGAAAGCCTCCAACAATAAATGAGAAAAAAGACTATGGGACAAACGGACGACGTTCCATTATTTGAAAAATAATAATAATTAAAGAAAATTAGCACTGAAGTTATACTCAAAACATAGACTAATTACAAGAACAAATAGTTCTCAATGTTTGTTTATCTACACACACTCTTTGTTGTCCACACTTATTTCACTGATACATTCACACACTCTTGCACACACTGCGTACATTTAATTCACTGAAAAATGGAACCCGACGCATCTTTCAATCACAATCTGATATATCCAAATCGTCCAAACTAGGAAATCCGACCTGCAAAAACATTGTTCTAATGGTGTTACAAACAACTACTATGATAATAGTAACTCATTCTCTCAACAAATTTTAGTCATCAGAAATAAGAGAGGAAACATAACCTGTGACCCATTGCATTAATTTTTGTCAACTAACAAACATCAACGATTATAGAACAACTAAGAAATAATTTCTGTATAGTTTTTAATTTTTCATTTTATTTTTTCTATTTTTCCTTACCAAGAAACAATAGGAATGAGCCCTACATTTAACTAAGGATAGATCGACCCCATATTTGACTTACTTATAGTGTAATATAATTAATTCTTGGTTTGGGAAGACAAGTATAAATTTAAAGGGAGGGTCCAATGCAACCTAGTGACAGAGCCCAGCAAATCAAATTTAATTAGTGGCCAAAAAAAAAACCTACCCCAAGAGTCTCAATTTGATTGAAGCCAAGATGGAGTTCAAAACTGAGTTTAGAATTAAATCGACACAAGTACGGGATATAAGCCCGTATAAAAATTGGGGAAGAGATAGAAGCCACACAATCGACAAGAGTTATGAATATGGAAGCAAAAAAAACCACAAGAGTCAAGAGCCGATTTTGAATTGCAAGTCAAAAAATGAAGCTCTGCCAAGGGATGTAGGGATTAAAATGAACAAAATGGGCAAAATGAGAACTAAACCAAGTATTAGATTTAACACGAGAGGAGAAAAACGAAGCATCTCACAGCCGTTATATATCACAGCAAGGTTATATATCAGTGCGACTTTTTATCTAAAGTCAAATTGCTTTGACTATGAATTTCTTTGCGCGGGAAAATGAAGTCCCAGCCCAATATCAAAATAGGCTGAATTACTCCCAAAATTAATAATAAAAAATTCATCAAAAGCGTTGAATTTGTGAAATTAAAATTAACAGCACAGTCTGAAGCCTAATAAAATTAACAACATAAATGTTACACATGTAAAAGAAAAAGAAAAGGATAACAGTAATGGTATTAGATTTTTAATTAACCTTATTTCATGCAGAATGACATGATTATTATTTTATTTTTTTTAAAGAATTTTTTAGGAGCCTAGGAAAATTTTTTGCCCAAAAAACTATAATAAAATAAAGCTTTTCTAAATTTTTATAATATCCCAAGTCAAATGGTGGTCTAATATTAATAATTAATCTTAACCATTCGATTTAAATGATTTTGTGATTATCCATATTTAAGAGATGGGGAGCATTATATCATAAAACTCTTATATTAATGCAACCAAAGTGTCTCACTCTCAACACATAAAAGAACCGTTTCAAAGATGAAAGGTACGTTTTTTTTTTTTTTTATTATTATTTTTTTTATCAAGATTTATCATTGGACCCATGAGTTTTATTTATGCAGAAATTATTAACACCCAATAAAGTAAATCCCCATCAGAATAACAACTAATATATAAATATACAATCTTAATAATTTTTCCTTAATTTAGGTTTTACCTCATTTTGTATCAAAATTGTTAATCCATCTTTGTTTTCAATTTTGCTTTGCAACAACTGTGACAAATTAGTGGGTCAACAAACAATTTCCAGAAATCGACTAAAGGTGGAAAAAGAGAGAGATTATTAAAAGCAACAGAAAGGAAGAAGATATATAAAATCCATCTTTTGTATTCAATCATAGAAAATAAAGGTGGAGAATATCTTTTGTATTCAATGAAAAAATATAAAATACCTTTTCATTGAAGAGAGGTTGTTTAACGGTGAAGGCGTGTTGGACTCTGTAGTTGATGTCTTCTTCGTATTGGCGTAAATGCTTCTGAAATTTGGCAGATTATTCAACGTCAATTCCTTTAACTGATGAAAAGTAACTTTATTCGTGACTTCTTCATCACCTCCAATTATTTCTTCCAATGCCTCACATTCTCTAACAGATAGTTCATGCAGTTTTGGAAGACATCTTGCAGTGGACGCAGAGAACAGATACTTCATTGATCGACATCTGCCAACTTTTAATACTCTCAATTTACCAAAAGAACCCAATGGATCCAAGTCCTCACATCCCCAAACAAAAAGCAACTTCAAGTCTGAAAACCACTCTCCGTCTCTTTTGTGAAACACCTTCTTTGAACCTTCAAAATGAACCAAATATAGTACTTTCGCGTTCGCAATCAAAACGTCAAGCCCATCCATTAAAGGAATACCATCAAGTCCCAAGACCTTTGTTTCTGTGTGTTCGTCAAGCACTGAATAAGAATAATGATAAGACCCAATCCATATTTTATATTTTGTTAACAACTGAAAGTTGGGAAGGTCCTTGGGTAGTAGTAAGAAGACATCTTTTGGTATATAAATATCTAAAGCGGTTAAGCTAGTCAAACAATTTATCTCAACAATGCTTGCATTGCTTTCAACCTCCCATCCATTATATTTCATCGAAATGTACAATTCCTCCAGATCGGATAGACATGACAGAAAACCCGACGGAAATTCTATATCTTTGTTAAATTCTCTTAAATCCAACAACCGTAGGCAAGTCAACTGTCCTATTTCCACAACCATCTCTTTGAATTCATAAACATAATCAATGACCAGTATCTCAAGGTTTTTCAATTCTTTGATGAAAGATAGGTTCACTAATTCACAATCACTTAGACACAACATCCGGAGACTAACCAGATGTGACAGTGATGATGGTACTAGTTTCTTCTTGTTCAAAACCAAAACTTCAAGCTTTTTTATCCCTTCAAAAAAGCTATTTGGGAGTTCTAGTAGTGAATCATTGGATGATCCCAATACTAAGGTGCGTAATTCTGGACATTCTAATTGATCGGGAAGCCGACGAACATTGTAGGAAGCCCTTATTGAGATTACCTTGCAACAAGTATAATAATCTTTTTCCAGCCAAACATTGACACCATCTTTCACTAGAAATGCATTATGATATTTTGATACAATTGATATAGCAACATCTCGAACTACATCATGCATTTTGACCTTGTTTTCTTCTTCACCTTCTAACAACAAATTAGATTTCTTGAGAATACCAACTATCACAAGTGTTCTATCTCTTGCTTGTTTCATTGATGTTGTATCTGTGCTTTCAAGAAACTTGGTGCCTACTCCCAAAGGCACCAAAAGGTCAATAGGAATCTCAGTATCTTCAAGAAACAAAGAACAATGTAGAAAGCTTGACTGCACATCAGCCTGCTTTAGATACTTATAGCTCCACTCAATGCATGAATACACCTTTTCTTCCACTCCATCAATTTTATATCCCTGACAATGTTTCAATTGTTCAAGTGCATCATTCCATATATGCTTATCATCCAAACCGCTCAGTGCTCCTCCAACTGCACAAATTGCCAATGGCAAATGATCACATTCTCTGCACACCTGTTGCGCTACAAAATGAATTTGAGGATCAGCTTCAATAAAATCTCCGACCATTCTCTTGAATAGGTGCCAAGCTTCATCTACTGATAAGAGTCCAATATGGAAGGTTTTTTCAAACCCCATCTTTTTGCACACTGCTAATCTTCGAGAGGTCAGCAAAATTTTGCAACCAATGCTATTATCATCTGTATCCGCTGGAATACCTATTTTCTTCAATGTAATCTTATCATCCCAAACGTCATCCAATATTACAAGGATTTTTTTCCCGTTCTTCAATCTATTGCACAGTTGACCGGCTCTCCCTTCTTCACTCTCTCTATCTAGTGTAAGATTTAAACAATCTGCAAGTTTTCCTCGAATTTTGTTCGGATCTGGATTTTGGGAGAAAACTGCCATTGCGACCTCATCAAAAGGACCTTTTTCAGCTTGTTTACCAACTTCCTCCACCATTGTTGTCTTGCCAATGCCAGCCATTCCATATATCCCGATCTTGGAATTCTTATCATCTCTCAACGCCTTCATGATCTCCTCAAAAATAGATGTTCTGGTACTGAATTGCTCATAACTTTGGTGGATGTGTACCAAATATCCTTGAGAGGAGTAGGGTGTGCAACTTGGTCGCCAAACGTATTTCGTTTCTCTTTTAGTTTGATAGCATCCATCACCATATTTTTCCCTTTCTTACCAATTCTATACCGTGAACGTACATCAAGACATTTGAGATTTGTTCTGTCTTGCAATGATTTGTTCACTTCTTCTTCAAAAGTCGTCAACGACTGCTGCACTTCCTCCAGCCATTTCTCAACATCCTTCTCAATTGTCATCCCATTGTCCCTGGCTCTGTTGACAGCTGCTTGGACTCTGTCCCTCACACCTTTAAGATCGTTCACTTCTTTTTCCAAATTTTCAATATTTTCCTTGTATTTAACCAAATAACCAATTTGACGCCCAATTGATGCGAACAAACAGTCAAATATTGGATCTAATATTTTTCCCACTATAGCATCTATAACACAACTCATTTTCAACTCACTAGCTAGCTGTTTTTTGTTACTTCTTTATTTTTGTAACAAACAAGATGATGAAATACAAAAGAACATTCACAAACTAGACAAACGAGTGAAAGAGATCGATAACAAAAGGTGAAAATTCACAATTAGAACATACAAAAAAGAAGACTAGTAGGAGAAAGATTAAATGCCAAAAAAAAAAAAAAAAAAAAAAAACACAGATGAGATGATTGAATACAAATATCAGCAGAGAGCTAACACTGTTGTTGTTGAAGAAACTAAAGCAGTGACTTGAACGTACCTCTAGCTTATGGATGTGTCTAGATGGAGCTAGCAAGTGAGAGCGATAGATAAATAAAAGTGATTCACAAGAGAAAAGAGATTCAAATTAAAAAGAGATTTTAGACAACAAATGGCACAATAAAGATTAGAAGCAACACAAGGGGAACAAAAGTACACAAGATTTTAGGCAACGAATGACAACGAATTACTATGGATGAAGAAACTAATTAAAGAAGAGATCTTAAGGCGTACTATTGCTCATGGATTTGTTCAGACGAAGCTAGCAAAGTTTTACAAACAAGAAAATATATCAGAAAGAGTGTGAAATAGATCAGAAAGTGAGATAGATAGCAGATGGAGAGAGAATGAGAGACGCAAACTAGTTGTAAACAAGAAAGATTAAAAAATTAGAAGAGATAAAAAGGTAATGAATAAAAAAAAGGGGAAAAACTAGATTGTTTAGAGAAAGTAACAAAAATATAAAATAATTTAAATCGTTCATAAGGGCATAACTAATTTCATATAGCCACACCTAGAAAATGTTTTATTGGTTGACCTAAAGGAGAAAGAGTAGAAAGTAGAAACAACAAAAGATATTAAAAAAATTAAATTGAAAACATTTCATATTTGCATTAAATAAAAAATTGTACTAAAGTGGTCAAAATTGGCGGACTCATTTGATTATTTTAAACTATTGCTCGGTTGTCTTTCATTTGATCTGGCAACTTGAATTAAAAATTGAAAAAAAACCATATGGGCGTTAGCTTTGTTTGGTGGAGGCATTACTATTTCTTCATTTTAAAAAGAATAATGATAAGGAGAAGATTTAATCGAATAAATATTAAATTTGATGTATTTTTATTTATTTTATTTATTTAAATAATTTTTTAAAAATAAATATTTAATAAATAATAAGAAAAACTAATCACGTCAAATTCAATGTTAATTCAGAATTATTTTATTTTTTTTAAATATTGCTAGTTTTGGCTCTTGGTACGTGGAAGCATCGACTAAAATAAGGAGTATCTCGGGACTACCGACTGTATGGAGCATTTGGGCATTATTATATTAAAATAAACCAATTTGGTTGGTCAATGGAGAAAGTATGAGGTCCAGACAGTAATATCTCAACCAATGGGTGATTAGTTATTTTTTATTATTAAAGAAAATAATGACTATTTATTACAGTGCTTTAGAGGTACTCAATATATTTTCCTTTCGTAGTGACTGAGAAATAAATTCATTGAGTTTGTGACTGTCTTTGTTTAGACGAAGCTAGTGACGGTGACGGTGACGGTGACAGTGACGGTGACGGAGACGAAGACGAAGACGGAGACGGAGTAGAAAGTGAGATTGCAGATCAGATCGAGAGAGAATGAGTGATGCTAATCAGTTGTAAAAAAGAGTGTAAACATGAAAGATTAGAAAGGACAAAAATGGATTAAAAATAAAATAAATAGCCTCCACTATGGACAACGTGGTTCAGCCAACCACTCTTAATTATGTAATACTCCATAGTTAAAGAAGGAAAAAATTTGTTTAAAGAAAGTAACAATATATATATATATTGGTTTAGGAATGCACTGATGTCTGAACCCACGTCTTTCATTAGATCCAGGCAACTTTGATTATAAATTGACATAAACTACTTGGACCGCTCAAGATGGACTGGTTCAGCACATGGGTGGAATAGAAAATAGGGAAAATTACATATAAATGGAGTCAAAGTTCCATATTTACTTAGAGGCTGAGTCAAAGTTCCATATTTCTCTAAAATGGATTGTTGAGGTGGCACATGGTTTTTTACTGTTTAGAAATTATGGTGCCTAAAATACCCTTTCGCGAAGGTACTACTTTTTCTTCGAAGGTACTACTTTTTTGAAATGAAGATACTACTTTTTGGTGTCCAGGTACCATGTTTTTTAAACACCCGCGAATGTACTACTTTTTCTCCGAAGGTACTACTCTTTTAAACTGAAGGTACTACTTTTTTGAACTGAAGGTACTACTTTTTTGTTAGGGAAGGGCATTTTAGGCACCATAATTTTCTAAACAGTAAAAAACCATGTGCCACCTCAGCAATCCATTTTAGAGAAATATGAAACTTTGACTCAGTCTCTAAGTAAATATGGAACTTTAACTCCATTTATATGTAATTTTCCCTAGAAAATATGGGGTATCTCGAAAGTATCAACAGCTATTAAGTAGAGATTCGGATTCTTTAGGAAGGCCTTCTAGATCAATAAAATTAGTAATACTTGAACGAATATTTTTATTATATTAATAGTAATGAATTATTAAATTTATTCTTAGTAGGTCTATAATGATTTGATGATTTATTTTTTTTATAGATTGAATGTTAAATTAGTATATTAACTTTTCAATGAAATATTTATTTTGGAACGAATAAAAATAAAAAAGTAGATACTTATTTTGAAATTGAGAGAGTACAAAATTAATGGGAATGTGCCGGCTAGGCTCACAAAAAAAGATATGACTGTGATAGTCCCAGCCTAGAATTGGGCCTCTCTAGTTTTGGCAAATACACTCTCTTTTATGTTGTCTAAATATTATTTGAGTATTTGGTGAAAGTAATTAATCTCAATACTATTTAATAAAATTGAAAATTAAGTTTTAAAAGTTTTAAGATATAAATTTTATGTGTTTGAATGTTATTGTTTAAATATATGTTGAGAATTATTTTATTTTCTTGAATGTTAGTGTTAGAATGATACACAAAGACTCATTCACTTAAAAAGGATTCATTTAGTTAGCTAAATTTTAATTACATTAGACAATATAGCCGAGTGAGATAAAGTCAGAGCTGATAGTGAAGATGGAGGGAGAGAATGAGATATACAAATCTGTAATGATGACTGAGAGCCTAATTAAAATAAAATAAAATAAGAAAAGAAAAAAGAATGTAATCAAAAGATTAGAAGAAACAAAAAGGGAATTAAAAGAGGGAGGAAAAAAGAAAGGGGAAAATTGTTTTTTTTTCCGACAAATAAAGGGAAAATTGTTTGTTTAAATAAATTTACAAAAATCTAAAGATTTTTTTATTTATTTAAACACTATATAATTTGCAAACCTAGAAAGGGTCTTGTGGGTAGATCTAAACGGGAAGAATAGAACTATAGAGGCAACAAAAGATATTTAAAAAATTATATTTAAAATTTTCATGTTTGCATTAATTAATAAAACAATAATAAAGTGATTTCCATTAGCGGAGGCATTGGTATTTGATCATTTAAAATGTTCCTGATTGCATTAATTACTACGTAATAAATAAACAATAATAAAGTGGCTTCAATTAGCGAAGGCACTGGTATTTGATCATTTTAAAACTATTGCTTGTTGAGATTTTACCTCTAGTAATTCAGGATTATACAGCGTAAATTGAATTATTTATTTTTTGATTTAAGGCTAATTGGTAGGTAATTAGTTTCTCGATTCTTCTATAATTAGTTACCTATTTTAGTTAGGTATTATTCTATAAATGGAATGTAAAGCCATCGTGAATAATATTGAATTGAGTTTTGATTCTCATTCTTTCTCTGAATTTCAAGATGGTATTAGAGCCATCATTGAACCGTATTTTTTAATTTTTTTGAATTTTTTGTTCTCTTTGAATTTAGCCTTGAAATACACAGACCATACCTAGACCCATACACAGCCAATACATCAACAGGCATCTCATACCCATACAACATAACCATACCTATACACATCAATTCACAGTCACCATTGATTAACCCATCACAAGCCGTTGCCAAACCGCTGAAGACCTCGCCGGATCAGGATCTGAAATGACAACGACAAAGCCGCAGCCACTGCCAACACAAGTCTCGGTCGTCGCCGGACCAATTGCCATCACAACTCACAGCTGTAACCAAACTGCTGCACCTCAACAGATCTGTATCGCCGTCGCCAGACCTGTATCCCTCTCACCGGATCTGCAGCGTTTGACGGCCGAACTGCTATCCATAGTGTCGTTGGATCCATCTCAGCCGAACCGAACCAGCCGCTGGATCCATCATCACCGTCGTCGGCTGCTCATCCAGTTTTGCCAGATCTCCATCTTCTGTTTGCATCTCCATTTGTTTTATTTTTTTTTGTTTCTGTCTCTTAATAGAGACTAATTGGGCTCCTTATATTTGTTGTTTTTTTTGTAATATATATATATATAAATCCAAAAAAAAAAAAAAAAAAAAAAGGAAAAAATGAGTG